GGAACGGTGCACCCCCTCACGGGGAACTCTATGCAGTAAAAGACAGATTTCATTATCCGAGGAATAGTCAGAGCAGGGAAAACGGAGTTTACGTAGAGTGGGATCCTGCAGAGCGGACTCTCCTGTGAGACCACTCAATGGACCGCTATTCTTTTTAAAGTCAAACCGGGCGAGATCGCGGGCATTAGTAGAGCCGCTGTGAGTTGCGGAGGCTGATGAAACGCCGGGCGCAGGTCGAGACACTCACCGGGAGGAGCCGCCGTGGCTCGGCGCTGCGGAGGCGGAAACTAACGCGGACAGAGCTTTCCCAGTCGGTCTTTTTTTCATTAGGATAAACTCAGCCAGACTGCGAAAAATTCAATTACCTCTAAATGAACCGTCAAAAAAGTTACAGCCGTATTACGAGTAAAGATTAATTATTCCTGTTCATATCATGTAAAAGCCGAAATGGCACCAGCGAAGCCATGCGAGAGGTGGCGGCCGAGGGGGTCGGTTTGAGTTCTGTCCGGAGACCGTCAGGCACTTATCTGTCTCGCCCCTGGCGGGGGGAGAGGGAAGAGTGCAGACAACGACCAGTAGGAAGAGGAGATTCAGTGTAAATGGCTGTAGACCGGAAGCGGATGATGCCGTGCACCGATTTTCTTCTATTTTTTACCGCACATGTTCCCCGTGAGGGGGTGCACCGTTCCCGGAGGCACTGCAATACCGGGACGATGCGCGGAGCGGAGGGAGCAAGCTCCGGGTCCAACTCCCGAGCCCAAAAATCCGTTTAATATAAAGTCCTCTCATCGAGGACGTATCAGATATTAAACTGATAAGAACAGATACTACACTTGATCTTAGCCAAAAGGCCGAGAAGCGATACCCTCTGCCTCACACGGACGCCACCCCATCACTCGCCTCCCTCCTCGACACCACGGTAACACCCTCCTCACCCTCCCCACTCCCCGCTCTGTTCCCCACCATTCCCGCACGGTTCGATCGGGATCTGCCCTCACGACTCCCGGTATTTTCCCGAATTCTTCGTCCCGACAGCTCCCAGCTTCCCCTTCGAC